TAGGGTAACAGAGGATAGAGTATATAGTGTCCAAAGAGAAAAGTCTCAGGATCTTTTGCACTTAAGAGGAGGTACAGTGAAAATTCACTCTTGAGTACCAGCTTAACAAAGGCACTGGATAAAACAAAACACGCCTCCATCCAGCTGCGAGATCCAACAAGGAGGGTGCACTGAGGAAGCCAAAGATTAACCACCACAGACTCTCGGTGAGCATCGGTGCAGCATGCGCGGTACACGTGCTACTCCCAGCCTGAGCTGCTCCACGAGGCGTCCACAGGTCTTGTGACAACCTGAAACCAGACAGTCTGCCTTTGGGTCCCCGAGAGCTGGTCTGTATTTGCCTGAACTGCCGTTTTCACGGCAGCTCCCACTTCTTGTACCCATCCCCTCTAGTTGGCACACTTTTAATCGCAGCTGCAAGAGTTGCTTCTGACCTCAAACTGCAATTACACTTTAAGGCCCCAATACTAAATAGCTGAGTCAGAAGCCAAAAGGATCAGCGATACAGTAGCAAATCGAGTTTGGATCAGAAATTAGGAAACCTACTTAAGAAATACGTAAAAAGTTATTAACACCATTAATAATAAAGATGTTTTAGTTATGTAGCTCTTCTTTAACCTTTTAAAAGCTTGACAAAATTAGCAGTGTGTGTATGTGCATTTGCTGGAAAGAGTTTCTGTATTATTACAAATTCCTTGATTAGTATAGCTCTTGGCGCTAGAATATTTGAGAAAAAAAACATTTAAAATATGCTCGGTCTTTCTCAATTCTTATTGCTACTCTCTGGCTTTGTTTGCCTTGCTTAGGAAAACCAGCTGGTATTAATTGTGCTTCAAGCACCACCATCATGAACAACAGCCAGATATCAGCAAATAAGGCCTAATAACAGGAATCCACTCAATTGTTAAAAAAAATAACAATTACTGCTTAGTGTTTGGAAAAGCAGTAGAGCCAGAGCAATCAAAATAAAAGGCAGGAAGGAGGCTTGTATAGGGAGAACATGATAAAAATAAACTAAAATCACAGAAGGAGAAACATAAATCTAGGTTACTTTACAGTAATCAGAATCCTCTAAACATATTGTCTCCTCGGAGCTACGCTTTTGGAAGTCGTATGCTGTGCGGCGCTCATTCAGAGCGGTTAGCCTAGTTCTCAGCGTGCGCTCAGAAGAGCTAAGAATACACCCAGCCAGAGCGCTGCCTGTCCCTGCATCCCTCCTGTCCACGGCACCGAAAGCAAGCGTGGTCTGCAGGGACAGGGCACGTGCAAAATGGTGCAGGAGGATCATGTAACAAGAATACCTGCTAAACCAGCTATTTCACCTCCTCTTAACCCACAGCCAATCTTAACATAATTTCTTCCAATGTCTTTTCTAGCCCCATTTCAAACAGCTGAATACCAAGTGGGAGATGAAATAAATAAAATGAAATAAAATTCTGGACCTGGCATAGCTTTCCTTGCCTAAAGTCACACTGTGGATCAGGCCAGGCTGGGAGTAGGTGGCAGCACCCAAATCTTCAGAGGCGTGCACAGAGCGGGGCTGGATGTAGCCATAACGAGGAGAGGGGACAAGCAGAGAGACAGCAGTTACCTCAACATACATCTTCCCAGTACGTGTCTGCAGCACAAGACTACAAAGCTTGTCTCCTCGGGGCAAAGGGAATATTGATTCTTCCAAAAACGCACCCCAAAAGGATGTAAATCAACGGTCCTAGTTTAAAACTGTATTGAGAGTCATATATTTAAATGTCCCTTGGAAATAACACTCACCAGAAACACTAACCAAAAAAAAAAAAAAAGCGCATTAGTGAAAGTTACAGGGTCAACACATAAATCAAGCACAAAAGATCTTGATCTCAAAGAAAAAAACGTTTAGAAGTGGAACTAGATCTAAAAGGAAAGCGTTGCTTCTCTGTGATGGAAAATCTCTTGCTCTCCAAAATGAGAAAAGAATAAGGTAATTTGCAAAGATTTGCTAAGACTTTCAGTTAACTGCGAGAAGCATAAAGCCAAAATCTGCTCTTGGATAGATGTGAGAAAGCAACTTGTTTGTCTCCGTCTCTAGATGAAGACAAGAAGGGTTAAGACTATGGGAAGCACAATCACAAGTGAACTGAACTGTCTCTTCATGGGCCTTCTCTCTGTGTCGCCTGCCAACTGCAAACATGGAAGGGGCTCACTTTAATTAATACCAGGTCTCAGTAGACCACTGGAGGTAGTGCCACTTGTTTTCAGGTCATCTGGTCCTAATAGGCTCACACTGGGAGGTGATTTGTTGCTAGCTGACAGCAGAGATCAGTTAATGAGGTCTGAGGCCTTCGAATTCAAGCTAATGAAACTTAAGGCTATTTCTAAATAATTTGCCATCATCATAAAAAAAAAAAAAAAGAAAAAAAACTGCTTGAGGAGATGCTGGTTATTAATCAAGATATTTACCCCATAAAAATCCCTCCCTGCCCTGCAGGGTTTTCTCCATGCTTCTCCACACAGGGAATTTTGCATGCAATAAGCAATGCTATGGATCTGCAGTGCCCTAGCTATTCTGTTTTCTTTTGCACAAATTTGAAAATGCTGGAAATATAACATTTGGCACCATGTTTCCTCATGGTACTTTTAAAGATCTCCCCGAAATGGACAGCTGAGGTGCACAAAATGATGAAGTGTTGTGGCTTCCACCTGGCACTCACTTACAAATTATGCGGTCAGATAAATCCCAGCATCGTTTGGTTTTCCGTGTTTATTCAAAGCTACTTGCTATGTACAGTAGTACATCAGCATCTTCACCTCCAGAGAGCAGACTGTAAACTAATGGAGTCACAAGCCACCGCAGGATGCTGATTGACCAACAGCAAAATGATTAGCCAGCCAGTGGCAGCAGTCACCTTGAAGTCAGCAATAGCAGGCCACTTGCAATGATTTCTTTTATCTACAAGTCTTGGTGTTCAAGAACCAGAATAAGCTTTTTGCAGTGCTTCAGAGAACCAGTGTTTCTCCCACAGCCACTGCTGATCATATGAAATCCCTCCGGCACTTTGAACCTATGTTTCTGCTTCAGCACTTTCACAGTTATCATAGGAGGAACCAGAGACCTGGATCAGTTGTCCCAGCACAGCCGCTCCTGCTTGTAGCGTGAGGGGTTTCCTTGCTAAAGCCTGTCAGCTTCTCAGGGTGACAAAACTCTGCCAGCATCACCTCTTCTGTGTCTCCTGACCTCTCTCTGCCCCTGTTGCTGAAACGGACAGTAGCACTAATGCCAGCAACACGGAGTCAGTGACTGTCCCTCGGCTGGACCCGTGCCTTCCTAGGGGCTGTACTGCAGGCCGCGAGCAGCAGCGTGGGCACGCCACATTTTGCTAAATTCACAAAATAGGAAAAATCCTGAACTAAGGACTGGAAAAAAGAGAGTCACATTTTCCTGTGGTGCAGGAGGAAACCAACCACAGAGAACTGCTCCTAACTGAAGCAGTGAGGACAGCGGGACAAGGACTTGGACATCCCGTAGCTGCCTAAGTGTGGAGCTAGTGTGGACGTGCCTACACCGCGACAGGTGAGCGCTCACACCAACACACGGCTAGTCGATGCACACAAGTCTGGGTCAGTTCTGCAGTGAAGACACAGGCTCAGTGAAACAGAGGAGTAATGTGGCAACAACTAAGCCATAAAGCTAGGACTAAGGAAAACTATTAAGCAGAAGGGTATCCATTAAAATCAGTGCTTTCCAATCCACGTTGTAAGGCACTTTACCAACTCTGTGCCCCTTATTCAGGGGAAACTGGTGGCTTTAGAGGTCTGAATGCTGGATTTACTACTCACTGCGAGTGCAGAGGGCAGCAGCTACAGAAAGACACACTTTCTGCAAACTTTCTGCTGTTCGCTGAGGACACGATAAGCCAAACTGCTCATTGTCAACTCCCAGCCGGTAACTCCTGCCTCCATAATTTTGCTAGCAAGCCTGAGTCTGCTTCAGGCACAAATTTTACCTTGGAAAGGTATCTACACAAGCCCATGCTGACTTTTCTCCAGGGTGTTAGGGAACCTGGATACAACCTGAGTGGTTCCCAGAAGCAGAGCGGGGGTAAGCAGACTGAGTGGTGACCTCTTCCCGTGGCACCGTCTGTTTGCAGAAGGAACGTCTGGAAAAGGATGTCTACGGCTTGAGACAGAGGAAGAAGTTCTGGCCACAGTAACAAATCAACATTGCCACGGGACCTTCAATGTCCCAGCAGAAAAATCACAGACATACTTTTCATGACGGATTTTCAAATAAGCCCCTAAAATGTAACTCACCTAAGTTGCTTCTGAGGAACGTATCTATCTCCTTGGGAACTAGCTGACCCTATTAAAGATAGGCACTTGTGCTTCTCAGGAATCTAAGCCTGATGGTAACACCACAAAGTCACGGTCTCAGGGATTTTAGCTTTTAAGAGCTCCTCATTATTACAGAGGACTTCAGCTACAACTTGAACATGGATTACAGCTTGAATGCTGCCCACAGGTGGAAGATTTCATTTTGAGCATTTTTGTTCTTTCAAGCCAAGGTGCTGACCCACCAGGGGAGTATTTCCAAAAGCCCGAGTCTGTTCAGCATGTCAGCTGTCACACAGTCACTCTATGCAACCTCAAGGTCACTCAGTCTGGCACTAACTTGGACTAGGCTAATTCAACGGAAGTTAATGCAAGTGTGGGTAATGAATTGCATACTAATGCAAGCGAGTTTGCTCAACAGTAAAGACACAGACTCAAGAGTTCCCGTGCACGGCGCCAAGCAGTGCATAGTGCAGGACATGTAAGCGATCATGGTAAAACTCTCCTTCTGTTGCAAAGTTCGGGCATGCATGGACAGACACTTCATGGTTAAGATATTTTCTTGTTATGTAGACTGATTTATGTCAATTAAAATAAACATGCTTGGCAATTGAAACAAATATCTCAAAAGCACTACAGTACTACTGTAAGGGAGCAGTTAGTAGTGAAAGATATAGACATAAAGCGTTACCCACTGCTATTGAGACAGCACTTATGACAGCTCCCAAGTAGCCCTGGATGAACTTGGATGTCGGAGAAGGCTTTGGAAAGAAAAACAAACATATTTTCAATAAATAAGCTTTTGCTTATTAAAACACAACCAAGGGGGGTTTTTTTTGTTCGTTTTGTTTTGTTTTTTTCAAACCAGAGACAGGTTTAATTTTGTCATATTGTTCTATAGCACACGGTCTGTCATCTAGTAGTGGCAAAACCAAAGAAAATTGTAGCTTCATGAACAAGGTTAAATGTAATGGAAAACTAATTGGCATCAAAAAATTATAATATTATCAGCTTAAAGAAAGTATGTGAATGTAATTTAGCAAATGGTAAAAACATTAGCACTCTTATGCACTAGTGATGAACCCTAAACTCTCCAAATTAAATATAAGTCTTCAAAAGGTTATTTTGATGAGCTGGATAATTTCCAATTCAGCTTCCTGTCCTGAGCTTCCAACATCCCATGAAGATATGAAACAAGGCAAAAGCGATGAGGAGAAGAAAGCAGGAACAGTAACACTTCACTTTTGTGGCACCACTTGCAGGAGCATTGCTGGTAAGAGTATATAAAGTCCTTAGAAGATGGAGCCTTCTTGCTACATGAAAATCCAAATAGCTATGATTTTGTTTTTTGCTCATTTATGTATCAAATTAAACCATTTCGTATTAGTTAGAACGATATACTGGTTTAGCTCAAAGGGAACTTACTGCTGAGCCAGCATTACTTATGTACCTAGAGTGATTTCGAGATCTGAAAGAAACAGTAGGACGCTTATCTAGCTTGGTGGGTATTAAGCATAATGCAGAAGAGAGTTTTGTAACCTAGAAATCTCACATTTACATGCTCTTGGAAACGACAGCATCTGATTTGGTGTGCAGGACAGGGATACCAAAAGGGCTCATAGGCAAGCCTCCTCTGAGCTCTGCCAGTGCAAAGCGCAAGGAGACTTTTGGTCCAGCCTGACACCAGCCCTGCTGTCAAGGGCCTGAAGCTTGCTTGAAGGTGCAGATCAAAGGCTATGGAACATCACAGCCCACTGTCACGTACCCTGGCAATACACCGCGTATAGATATTTTTTGTAGGTATTTTTTCACGCTTGCTAGTGTTACCTACGCTCTGACCAGCGATACTCTGTAGTGCAGCCCCTAATCTGTGCCAAGAGTTGAGGAGTTTTGGTGACTGGAACAAAGTACATCTAGGGACCGGAGTAAAAGCAAAACACTCATGTCATTTCCAGCCTAAGTTTAAATTTGAATCCTATACAGGAGAACGGCCAATCTATAAATTCATCACAGTGCCTACTCCACAGTTTCTATTAACAGCAAAGAGACAGGATTTATGTTTCCGTGTCAAAACAGATTAGACTTGCTGCAGGCACTGCATATGTTGGGTCTCCTCACCTTTGTCGCATTTCGGTTTGCATAGTTGACGCATGCATTGTGGCTCTGATTCAACCACTAGAAAAGAAACAAAAAGAGGCAGACATAAACATAACTTTACAAGAATAAATCTACAAACGCAGGACTACCACAGGAAAACTCATCTCCCTTCATACCTGCTCACGACTTGTCACTTTTCTAAGGCTTGTGCATACAGTAAATCTGATCTAATGTCCTTGCACTAAGTTCATACGGAAGCACATGCACAACTGCAAACACAGGTACACGAAAATAAACAACTAGCTCTAAACATAAACTTCAAAATTACGAGCAAAAGCAATCTGAAAGCTAAATCTTCACTTAAAACTTTTTTTCCCTTTATTAATGAAGTGTCAGTGAGGGACTGTGCTTGTCAATTGTTCCAATATTAAACATCGTTCCAGAAAATAATTTAGAAACAGTTGTAAGATGTAACAGTAAGTCCAGCAGCCTGTTCTTCAGTCATTTATTAAGCTCCATGGTTCTCAAACAGTGGGTCGTAGGATGTTTCATCTGAGCAAATGCACCATTTTAGGGACACAGACTCCACTAAATTGGTATTTTTGTCCCTAACTTCTTGGAGAAGGATTTAGTACAGAAGAAGCAGTTCAGCAGCTAGGGAAGAGTAGCGCCACACACATCTGAAGGGTTTTATCCACAGCAGCTGTTAGGAACATCAAGAAAACAATGGTTTCCACCCCATAAATACCCTATTTTCAGTTTAGGCTATTGACAGAACTTGATTCCTCTTCAGCTGTGGTCAAAACTGAGGGGAGAGGGTAAAAAGGGAAGTCGGGGGTGAGAAGAGTCATGAAGTGGAGTGAAACAAGGCACTAAAACATGGGGATTACCTAGTCATCACAAAGCCAAAACCCAAGAGGATGTTCTCCCTGCCAATCACAATTTTCTGTCAAGGAACAGCTGACCCAACAAAGCTTGCTTTTTTGTTTGTTTTCTTCAAGTTGAACAAAAAAAAAAATTAAGAATTCAGCCTGCCAACATGTGCTGGAAATCTGTCTCAAATTTCAAGAGGGTGTTTAGAAACCTCCTCTCTCTAAAAACTTCCACTGAAGAATCCCAAAGAGCCAAGATGGTGCGGCTCCTACATAGGACCATAAGGTACGTAGAAACAGGATTTCAGTGTGAACGCAGAGCCATTTCAGAGCAGTCACAAGGCACATCGACATTAGCAGGTCAGGAGTCCCCCTTCCAAAGCGTGTTGGGAACACAAACCCTCCCTGTTCCCGCTTATCCCCCCAACGCCCTGCTTCAGATAACACAGCATCTCAACACGCATGCCCTGCATTCCCTTCTGACCAAGCTAAGCTACGAGTGCACCTAAGGCACTTCAACCACCCCTGAGTACTCAGGTCCATAGGACCAGGCTAGAGCTATCCGAAATGCATCTGTCACGGGCATCAGGTCCTCCTACAAGCCCCACTGCTTGCTAATGCAGTCATATGCATAGTCCCAAAATCCTACACTTATCCAGTTGAATCTCATTTTCAGAAAAAGATGTAGACGTTCTGCTCAGATATTCCTTCTACCCTAAGCGATCTCTACATTGGAAATACCCCCACTACCCATTCCTGAACTCCACTGTCCTCCTGGCTGGCTACCTGACCCCTTCTGGGCTTTTTGGGTGATGACTCTGCACGCTGCAACTCTTCTGAGTTTTCAGACAAGGCCGTTTTCAGACAAGGCCGGCAAATCCTCACTCTCCTATGGGCATAAAGGGCGAGCGAGGGGCAGGTGGCCAGCATGCCCACTTTGGTCAGCAACAGCAGGACTTGAAACGCTGTCGCAAGTCCACCGCTGCTGCTCCGATGACTGCTTACCTCGGCCTGGGGCCTGACATGCCCTGAACTGCAACATGCGTACTCAGGGTGCTGTGGTTAAAGTATGGCAGTTTAGGGCTGCTCTTCTCCAGCTGCTGCTCAGAACCTGGGAAACAAGACTGAGAGGAGAAAAGAGGGGAAAGAAACAGAAAGGAGACAGAAAAGGAGGAAGAAAGCACAGGGAAAGAGAGAGAGAGAGAATCAGGAAGATGATGGTGAGGGAGGACAGAGGAAAAAATAAAAGTAGGAATACTGAAGGGGAGGTATGAATTCTTTGTCTGGGGAGCTTCACATTCGTCATAGTTTTGAAGTGAGAAGGAATAAGAAATTAAGGTAGGACCTCCAAAAGAGCAGTCCGACTTGGGGCTATCTGGTCTGATGATGGGTCCGGCAGGTTATGATTTGCAAAAGTTTGAGAACCACTGATCAAACTGCAGCTTCTCAGTGGGTCTACAGTTACTGGACTTGCCTGCTACGACCTCTCTCTCTAGCGGGCTAGTTCTGCATCTGATCATATCTGAGGAGCCATAAACAAAATCTGACAGTTTGTCAAGCAGTTCGATTCCTACATATTCCTTGCCAAGTTCTACCTAGCACATCTAACTCCCAGTGAAACCAACGCTGTTCTAAAATTGGCTTGGAACTTGAAGTCTGTGTATTTTGTTAATTAATGTCTCCTTGAAGTTGATTTTTGATTTTGTGTTTTAAATATTCTTTCTAGTTCCAAAAGGATTATTCCATCCTTCTAAAGCTGAAAGGTTCCACTGACTACATTTAGACTCACTACGCAGCAACAGGGGGAATATGCTCTCCTTACTTTAGCCATTTACAAGACACCTGGTCCAAACTAGCTGCTCGGGCTGGCTCACCCTTTAATCACTTGAGGGTGACTTCTCCAAAAGGGTCACTTGAGGATTACTTCTCTTTCCATCTTAGAAAAGAAGCCTAAAAATACGCAGGATAAACTGTCCTTTAAAAATATGAAAATTCTAGACATCTCCAGCCACAATCCTGCCCCCAGCATCTGAAGCCATGTGGACACAACGTATGGCCAAATTAACCACATCACTAGCCACCAGGATATACTTATCTTTTCTCAGTTCTGCACGATCTTTCTATTGTGCTAGGCGGATCCTATCCTGCTTTGATATTCCTTAACCACAACATTCTCTATCATAACTTACACTGCAGATAATTAAAAAAAAAAAAACACCACTGGCAATTAAAAACAAGTCTGAAAATAACTTACTTCTCGCCATTTCCATTACTGCTGAAATAATACTTTGCTATGGGTCCTTGCCACGGGTATAACTCATTCATACACACCCTTCCTCCCCTTCCTCTTAACTCCCAGAATTTTACTGGGGATAACACCGATAAACCCCATTTACTTCCCAAATGCAAAGCTCCTTGCCTTTATGATCTACAGCTATTGCTATTATGATCTACAGCTATTTCTGAAATTCCTCAGCACTGGGGACCTCCTGCTGCCCCAGCCCTGTGGATAAATTGTACTTCCAAGCAGGAAATTTCCAAGGTAGGTTCCTACTACTTGACAGAGCAGCTTCAAAACAGCAGATGTGTGAACTTCAGGGCCTACGTTTCCATGGAACTACACACTGTGCAATCATTTACACCTGTACAAAAAAGCTCTAAAAAGCCGATTTTGAAATCAAGTGCTATTTTGCCTCTCCCTCACAAGGTGTTTATGGTGGCAAAAATTGCAGGGCACCACAAAGCAGGCCCGATAGCTTGCTTTCAGCACGTACCCGACCTACCAAGCCTTTTCCTTTTCCCATCTTCTCATTAACTAAAGCACTGCTGATGCAGAAAAGTCACATGCATTAGTTTGTCCTGTGGATACAAATCAAATTCAGCCTTCATTTTCATCACATTCTCCACACATTCAGTGCACGGTGGCAGAAGAGCGTTACCTGCCAAAAAACAGTGGATGCCAGCGTCTGGTTGGGCAAGAGAAGACCAACAACCTGCAAGAGAAGAGAGGTTTTTATCAACAAAGACATTGTTGGCTTGTTCTTGAGGCTCTTCTAGGCATGAAAACAGTAAGTTTACTTCTATTGACACATAATTAAATTAACTTCATTTCTGGGCTTATGTCATGGTGAGCAGCCAGAGTACAAACCACATGCAACAGGGTGGGGGAACAGATCCATCTCTTCAGTTCTTCTAAAACTGCCCATTCTAATATAAAGCAATGTGATTACGGTAAAAAAAGGAACTGTGAGTTTAGAGCACAGTCCTGCATTTTTAACTCTGAACTTCCCTGCACCCCACTGTCTCTAAATTTTCCGGTGGTGAAATCGGATCGTGTGGCTGCCCATTAAAATTTCTCATCTTTAACTATTGCTTGCAGCACACCTTAAAAGGAGCTTGGCAACGTATATAGTCCAAAGATTAATATATTAAACTACAATCAATTGTTTAATCCAGGTATTTCTAGAATATAACTCAAATGTTGAATTAATGAAAGCGTTCAAAATAGTTACTATTGGCAGCAATGGGGTTTTTCGTATTTTCCTTTGGCACATTCACTGTTCCAAGCATAGGAAAGAAATCAGCTTTGAACATCTGAAGACAGGAGTGCCACCTGGAAGCACATGTGCTCCTGTCTGGGAGTCTGAATTTTGTTTTAAGATAAGAGAATTGTTGATGTGTCATACTTAGAGCTGCGAAAACTCCTGCTTGGGTTATGAGCTCAGCCTGATGATCGGTATCTCCCAAAGAGGCTTAAAAGCAGCCTGTCCCACGCATTTGGCAAGGTGCTGGCCAGCCGCAGGCACCTGCGGATGCGAGACACCACGGCCCTGCAGGGTCACCCTTCACAGCATCCGGGGCCGCGGGCACACATGTGCTGCCTGTACAATCCTAAGCATCCTTAGGACATGTCTAAAAATACAGTCTAGACATACTCTCCAGTCTCTAAAGGCCCCATATCTTTCCCACCATTCAATGCAGCACTGCCTGAGCCTTTCCTGCCTTACTTTGTGGCAATCTTTCCTCTTAAGAAGCGAGAGGCTGAAGAGGAAAGGTATGTCAAGCATGGGAACTCCCAATGATAAACCCAAACAAATGTTTCCAGGAGGACGAGTTCTCAGGCAAGAACAGGTAAGAAGTGATACTTGTCATCATTGCCTTTTTCTCCCCTCTAGCTCCTTACATTTCTGAAAGTTTCTGAAGAAGATGGTCTTCATTTAACAAAATCACTTGCACCTTTAAGAGTATAAAAGCAAAGACCAAACAACTCCTTTAACGCAAAAACAGATTTCTTTTTCAGGGCACTCGGGTAACGACGTGAGTAGAAATGTCTCTGAGGCACCTGCATCTTTGGGCCGAAAGGGTACGAGACTCTAGTCCGGACCAGCTTCTTTAGCTTTTTTTTCCCTGCAGAAGCCGAGAGGAGAGCAAACGTCCCTGTTACCGCTCAGAGAATCGGCCACAAAGAGGGATAAGCTAGAGCGATCTTTGCACATCTGCAGCAGCATCAGTTGAAGAGGAGGCAACTTTTACGCTTAAGGACGTAGAAGAGAAATAACAACAAACAAAAGGGTAAAAGGGTTGGGAGGCCTGGTTTCATTTACATCTTCTTCCCTTTCTCCTCCTCCTCCGGCTTTTCCTCCCACAGCCTTTCTTGAAGTTACAGCTACTTTGTACGCTGGCAAAATGCCAATCTGTGCAAGTTGCACTAATTTACTGCTTCCATTCAATATGCAGAGCTTGCCATTAATTACGCATTTGCTGGTCTCAGCCAAGCTAATTCAAAAGGCGGTGCACCTTCTTACCCCGGGTTTGACTTCAGCCCCAGAAGGCAGCGGGCTAATGAGACTTTGGAGGAGAGGAAAGACTGCAGGCAGCTACTACATTGTCAGCTGAAGCTCAGCACAGAGAAAAATAAAAGAGTAAAATAAATAAATAAAAGAGCACCCAAAATCTGTATGACTGAAAGAGGCACGTTTAAATGCAAACTCTCCATATGTGCAAGAGTCTGTCAAGAAATGTACAGTTTCACTTTTAATTACTGTCAGGGGAAAAAATAACTAAGAAGGAAAACAAAATAAAAAAAAAAAAGCTTCTAAACACCAGAAAAGTATCAACGACAAAATTTAATTGCCTATTAGGTGTGAATGGCCATTCCTGGCCAAAAAGCCAGGGTTAAACACACTGGGACATCTGTCAGCTCTGAAGAGCTTCTTAGTATGTCAGCGTTAGGAGCTCTCGTTCTGCAAACCCCACGTCCCGTCTTGCCTGTCAGGGAGCCGGCTGCGGCGCCGCGTTAACACCGACGCGACGGTCTTCTCTAAGCGTTGCGGAGCCTGAACGAGGCCTCCCAAACTCCCCGTCCGGCTCTCAGTGGACACAGGCCAGAAATTCCTTTTTATTCCCTTGTTATGGGGCGGGTTTTTAAATCACTGCGGTCGGCTGCTGGGGCAGGAGCTTTCAGAGACCAGCCCAGCAGCACGAACCTCGCAACACCACTCTCGCTTTTCCACCCAACTCGCAAAACAGGGAAGCGCTCTCCTCTGGTTTTAAAAACGCCCGCGAAAACTAGCGTACTCGAGGCCACAAAAGGAGAGCAAACTATTGTTACGTCTCGGATTCAGTTCGCTGCACAGCCCCAGACAGCGGTACTATCGCGCTTAAGGGACCGATACAGGGAACGGATAAACAGCCGCAGAATTTGGTTGTATCAAGGGAGTAGCTGCTTAGGCCACAAAAGAAACGACAGCGTCCGCGTGACCCTAATCCCTCGCACAATGAGCTAAACCACACCAAATTATTTTGCATTAGCTGTAGGG